TTCATTCTTATTTTTTTCCTTTAAATTAAATAATATATTAGGTAACGATATTTGTTTTATAATTAACTAGCTTCCTGCCTATTTTTTTTTTCATACAAACCTTCTCCTAGCAGTAGCGATCGCATAAACGATAGATTAAAAGTATAGGAAAACCATGCCTCGGCACGAATGGCCCGCCTCGACCGGAGTGATACCACGGCCTCACAGAAAACCGACGTGAACAACACTTGCTTGTTTCGTCGTTTTAGTGAGGTTACCGGACGCTCAATTATCCCGCTCCTCATTTCCCCGAATCCCCAATAATACTCAAATTCCTAATCCCCAAACGGCCGGTAACGCACTTGTAACACCTCTGGTGTTTCGGGTGTCCACGGGCGGCGCCGATTGCTTAACAATCTTAACATTAGGTGATCCGTCTGCTCCACAGAAATATTAAATCAAATCAAATCAAATTAAATCTGTGGTCTGCTCGTTTACCGGCTTATACCGTAAAAAGATAGGTATCCAATTTGATACCGTCGTCTGAAGTTATGCTGAAGTTATTTCGGGAATGTTATTAAAATAATATTATTATTACTTTTGCACCAGTGGTTTTGGAGATTAGCGCATTTAAACAAACAAACTTTTCAGCTTTATAAAAACAAAGTATAGATTCACAAGTTTGTTCATAGCTTCTGACGCAATAAAAAGTGGGCTTGTCCCTAGTAGGTAGTGTGGGCTTTGCCTGTTGAACTCACGTAGGTACTAATCCTAAAGTTCAATACTTGACGTCTGCAACTACCAGTTCACCACTAACAGGAAAGTGCCGGGGATCTACCTACTGTACGCAAGTACTGAGGAAAAAACAAACTTATGGTTGGTATGAGCCAAGCTGAAAACTGCACCACAGCAAACTAAACGCGTGCGGGATCTTAATCTCGATACTTTAATACCTTTACCCTTGTGTTGTGGTTCTACAAACACAATTTTACCAAGTTTAAAATATGTATGATTTATTTCAGCACGAATGAACAGAATGGAGAATTAAAGAAGACAGTGAAACGAGGAAGAGGAGAGAAGATATTTAAAACAATTAAAAACTCCTTGGACTTTAAGGAAAATACTATACGAGAAAGTATAACAATAGTAGCATTTAGTAGCCCAGTCATATTAGGTAAAAAAAGGGGTCAACCTCGGAATGAAAGATAATAAGCTATAAATTGGTATAAACCTTTGTTTTGTCGTTCTAAATGTTGTCTCAAAAGTCACAAATGATACCGTGTCCGCGTCTTAAGATATTGAAGGTCAAAGGTCATAAAAACTGGTTTTTCGTGAATATCTCGCTTT